AGTCCGACGGCCCGGGAGGCCTGCCCCCTCTGCTGTGTCCCACCAGCCTGGGTGTCTGCAGCGTCGTCACCCTCTCGGTGTCGTCTAGGTCGCCTGCAGGTATGAGCGCCGTGGGAACCCAAACATCGGAGCCTGGGGGACGGGCCCCCCGTGGCAGGCTTCTCCCTGGGACCTGGCCCTCCCCTCCCTGCCCACCCCCGGCTGCTGGGACCCTGCAGACGGCTTGTCCCGCCGGGCAGCCTCGTGGGAACGGTCCTTTCTCGGCGTCCGAGGCTGCCCGTGCGTCGGGAGTTAGGAGTGGGAGGTGCCGCCCTCCCTGGGGGCGGGGTCTGCGCCTCGTGACCAGGTCCTGCCTCGTGGGCAGTCGGGGGTGAGTTGGCCTTGACGTTTCTCCTCCACTCACTGAGGGCCGCCGGCGAGCCCGCTCTGCACGGGTTCTGTCCCGTGTTGGGGGACAGCAGTCTGCCCGGGGCGTGTTCCTGTTTGGTGGCCCACGTGTTGGCCTGAGGCCTGCCATGCAGCGTTCTAACGTGAAAGAGACGCTTTGATGGGGAAAGGCCACTGTCCACGCAGGGAAAGCGGGCCACGTGGAGCCCGACAGACATGGTGACCAGGAGGGTCCTGGTTTGGCCCCGCGTAGTCCGGTCCACATGCCCTATGCCCCCGCGCTGCCACCTCCACGGTGCCGCCCTCCCTCCCGGGGCGGGCCCTGTGCAGTGTCTGCACGTGAACACGGGCAGCTCCGTCAGGCCCTGGCGCGTGCCCGGCTCTCCAGTCGTCCTGGGTCCTCGTTTCGTGCTGGCTTCCTGCCGGCGCTTGTCTGGGGTCTGGGGGAGCTGCCCCAGCAGCCGCCCTCTCCTGCTGACGGGCCCGGCCGCCTCCACCTGCAGGGGGCACCGAGCTCCTGGCCCTGTCGACCAAAGGCCGCCTGATGACCTGCTGCCTGGACCTGAGCCGTGAGCCCGCTCGGCCCCCCCGGGTGACCGCGGCGGACACGGGCCGGAAGATCAAGGACCTGCTCTGTGGGATCGGCACCGTCTCCGAGAGGTGAGCAGAGGCCGTGTCCACGGGAGGCGGCCTGGTGTGGCCAGTGGTCCCAGCGAGAGCCCCAGATGCAGAGCTGCCTGAAAAAGGGCTTCCTCCCCCACCGTGTTCTCAGACTGCCCCCCTCTTCCCTGGAGGGGATGTGGGAGACCCCTCCACTCCGTGCTCAGTGAGGCCACCAGCAGCCTTTCCTCTGGCCGTGCCCTCCCCTGCCCTCCTGTGCCCCCCGGCACGTCCCTAGGCTGCGGACCCTTGTGGACCAGGGCCCCTCCATCGTGCTGGGCCTCCCTAGGGGGGCGCAGGCTCCCAGGCCTGGTGGGCAAGGCCCGGACGACGGGATAGCGTGGGCGGGACAAGCAGGTTGCTCCCTGAGGAGGCGGGGCT